AGGTGTGTGTGTGTAGTATGTGACTCTGGCGACGGTTGTTTGTTTATTTTAAACAAACTAAAATTATCGAAAAATTGCAAAATCATGCAAGATTCTAACGACAAAACCCACTGATATTTCTAATTTCAAGTATTCTCTTTATTTAAGATCGTGTGGTGTTGGGAGATGCTTTTCTAGTTATAAAAATGTCCTAACAAAGAAAAGGAAACATTTTTCTGCTGAAAATTAAAAAAAATATTTCATTTGTCATGCAAATTTTAACGAAGATTAGCATCACTGATTATATAAAATAATAAAATAAATGTATATCTTGAAGAAAACCAGACGTTGTGTAAAATTATTTTTCCCAAAACTTCCCTAAAGCGTTTATTTTGCCATTTCTCGGGCCTAAATTCCCCGATTTTATCGTTTATTTTAGGACCAATTTTGGCGTCTTTTTAGCCTAAAATCCGCTCTTTACACTTATGTGTTATTTCGCAGGGAAAGTATTAGCATGGTAGATTGGACTCGCATATAGTTCAACTGGAAAATTTATAACATTTATAACAATACTAATGGTCTAGAGTCGAAGTACATATCTTCATAGATGTATTTATTTTCCGCATGTCATACGTGTCGTATTAACCTCGCGGGCAATTTTTCAGCAGTTCGTTGTATTTTTCTTAAATTTTGATTCCATTTAAGTAATGACCACATTCGTTGCCATAATTACAGCTATGTGCATTGTAGTGTTAGTGCTGTGGTTGGCTCGTCAACTTAACAAAAATAAAAAATATTACAAAAATATTCCAGGACCACTGCCGCTCCCGATTTTATTCTACATTAATGTAGTACTTATACTAACAACTAACGTTTGATATTTATGAGCTTATGTTTCACTCATATATACGAGATGTTCTATAAATAACTCCTATGAAAATTATTTAGATAATAAATGATAATTTGGATTAAATTTCCTAAATATAAAATACTTATCCCTGAGTTGGTGCTGAAGCAACCATTATTTTTCTTCATTTTTGAAGTAGTCTGTATTTTTTTTTTAATTTTCGCAGGAATGTTAATGTGGTAATATTTCATCTGTTGAAGCGTTTTCCAAAAATTAAGATCATAGCAACCACTTCATCGTTAGTGCTCACAATTGAGAATAAAATTACATATTGTAAAGGTTAAAATTAACCACTACGTAAATATAATAATATATTGTACATTTTATAAAAATAAATTTACAAAGTGTTGCATATGAGCTATATATGCAACACTTTGTAAATTTAAAATAAAATAATTGTAAACAAGTACTTTGCTGCTGGGACCAAAGTAATTGTTTTGCTTATAAACGTGCAATTAAAAAATTAAAATCTGATGTTTTTGGGTTATTGTAGCAATCAGTGTTTCTACCTACAAGTATGATTAAATCTTCTCTTATGATTTATTATCAAAATGTTAGAGGTCTAAATACTAAAACAAACATCTTGTATAATGCATCTCTTATAGATCATTTCAAGGTGATTGCATTTACGGAAACGTGGTTAAATTCTACTATTAATAGTTGTGAACTTTTTAATCTTTCCCTGTACAATGTTTTTCGAGGTGATCGCAAGTATCACTTGTTGAATAAACAAAGAGGTGGTGGTGTTATGTTGGCGGTTGATAAATCCTATAGAGCAGTCCAATTGGAGGTTCCCAATGTTCCAGACATAATTGATTTACTTTGTGTTAAAGTATTTTTATCATCTAGATTCATATACGTCATTGTGCTATATATTCCACCAGGTATAAATGTTGAAGAGTATGATGCTATTGTTGACTCTATTATGTCTCTTGAGTGTTTATACAATAACAGAATTGTAATTCTAGGTGATTTTAATATCCCTGAAATAGGAATATCAAAGGCATCACATGCGGTACGAATTCTAGAAAAACTCTTTACCTTAGAACAATCTAATCATATTGTTAATATAAATGGCAGGATTCTAGATCTTATTTTTCATAATTTTACGCGTTGTATTGTCACTCGTGCTAATGATCCTGTATTACAGGAAGATAATCATCACCCACCTCTGTTAATTGACTTAAGTATAAAACATAACACTCATACTCTAACCTATAGATCGAAAGGTGGCTTTAATTTTAAGAAGGCGAATTTTAGTCAACTCTATGATGAAATATTTAGGTATGATTGGTCAATGATTCATAATTCTAGTGATCCTTCTGATGCTTTGAATTTATTTTATGAACATCTTAATATGTTATTTGAGAAATCAGTGCCCAAGAAAAAATCCATAAAAACATCTTATCCTATCTGGTTTACATTGGAGATAATAAAAAATATAAAATTAAAACACAGAGAATTGAAAAAATATAAGCGTACTAAAAATATTGTCCATTATAATAATATGAGTTCTCTTAGAAAAACTATTAAACGAGATGCTGCTAAAGCATATAACGAATATGTTGAGTCTATGGAAGCAAGCATAAAAACAAATCCAAATAAATTCTGGGCTTTTGTTAACTCCAAAAGGAAATTCTCTGATCTACCGCATTGTTTCACCTATAATAATGAAGAACACACCGATCCGCAAAACATTGCAGATTTATTTGCATCATTCTTTGCATCAACGTATAAAGATCATAATGATATAACCGAGGATACAACTAACTGCAATAATCTCCAACATAAAGTTCTACATAACTCTTGTCTAAATATTAATAAAATAGAAGAAAATGATGTACTCAAGGCAATTAAGCGATTAAAAACATCCATGACAGCTGGACCAGACTTTATACCTGCATTTATGATTAAGGATTGTGCATATATTTTTGCCAAACCATTGTGTAAGATTTTCAATTTAATAATAAACACATGTAGCTATCCAGATATATTTAAATTGACACGTACATGCCCCGTTTTCAAAAAAGGTGACAAATGTTTGGTTGAGAACTATAGACCAATCTCTATAATGTGTAATTTTGCCAAAATATTTGAATTTATCATATCAGACTTAATAGCGTTCCATATTAACAAAATTATATCCGAACATCAGCATGGATTCATTTATAAAAGATCTAGAGTCACAAACCTTTTATCTAAAACTCAATATATATCCGAATGCCTTGATAGAGGTAATCAGGTGGACGTTATATATCTGGATTTCTCCAGGGCGTTTGATAGTATTAATCACACATTGCTCCTTGATAAACTTGAATGTTTTGGATTCTCAGACTCTTTTATTCTTTTACTAAATTCCTATTTATCTAATAGGTCTACATATGTGAATTATAGGGGTTTTACCTCTTACACATTTACCCAATCATCTGGTGTACCACAAGGGTCAGTTCTTGGACCTCTCCTCTTTGTTTTATATATAAATGACATCACGGAAACACTTTATACTAAACATCTGTTGTATGCTGATGACCTTAAGATTTACCATGAAATAAAAAATACATCTGATTGTTCAATGTTACAGCAGAACTTACAAAATATATTAAATTGGAGTACCCTAAACCATTTGAATATTAATAAAACTAAGTGTTATGTTATGTCATTTACTAGAAATGAATACAAAGTAAATTATCACTATAGCATAGATGATGTTATCTTGAATAGACCTAATGTCGTCAATGATCTTGGGGTAACATTTGACGCTAAATTATCGTTTTCATGTCATATAAGAAAAATTTCAGATGATGCGTATAAATATCTAGGTTTCGTTATTCGTAACTCCAAATCATTTAATGACACCTCCACAATCATGACACTCTATATCGCCTTTGTTCGCAGTAAAATTGAATATGCATCTACAATCTGGTCTCCATGCTATAAAATATATTGTTCAGATCTTGAAAAGATTCAAAGACGCTTTTTGAAGTTTTGTGCATTCTTCGTAGATGGTTTTTATCCTATTCGTAACTTTCCACAGGACCTGCTACTATCTCGTTTCGCTTTACAAAGTCTTTCTATCAGAAGATCCATGCAAGCATCGGTAATTTTATTTAAAATAATACAAAATATAGTTGAATGTAAATATATTTTGAATCAAATTTCTCTACATACACCTAGAATCAACTGCCGGTATCATCATATTTTTCAGCCACTTCGTGCTAGAACTAATATGCTTATGTTTTCGCCTCTAAATCAGATGATACTAAGCTACTGCAGCGTTGAGAAAGATGTTGATATTTTTAACTGCAAGCTGAATCAATTAAAAAGATGTTTTCATAAATGACAACACAAAGAGGTTAAACACCAACACTGGTACCTAATAGAAAATTATTCATGGTTTCATTACATTTTAAGAGTGTACATAATGGTACTTATTGTATTTTATAATTATTATCTGAGCTCACCTAACTGGGACTTGCAGTAGTATAGCTGCAATTGTGCTTAAACTGATGAAATCAATATACATGTTTTAACTTGGCTTGTAATTGGGTTTTAAAAAACCTGTTAGCCAATGTACAATAATAATAATATATTTTATCCTGTACTGAAATTTGCTTAGGGTTCCATTATTCCAATACTTACCGTGTATAACCTAGGTATATATCCGTCATTATATTGATTCATGTGTGAACAAAAAAAATATTACTTGTAAAACATCATTTTTCTCTAACTACTGAATAATTCTCTGAAATTTCGAATTAAACGAAACTACGATTACAAAGAAAACAAAAACCGACGACAGTTTTCTCAGCGAAATTGTAAATATATACGTACCATCATCAAATTTTGGAGTAGAGAAACAGAAAAATATGGTTTTTTAATCTAACTATGATTAACGTCTTGGTGTCCACACTCCAGTTCGTTGAGGCATAAACTTCACAGAACGCATTTGAATTATTGTCGCGTTGAGTTCATACTTTGTCAACGATAACATTTTTATTGTAATTTTTTATGACACTTGTACTTACACTTGTTGTTTATCAAATTTATTAAAATACACTATTCAAACTAGTAAAACAGAACAGAAAGTTTAAGTCTATTTGCCAAACAAGACACGATGTTCTACTGGTACGACTATTTTCTGGTATTCTTTGTACTTGTTACAAGCGTGTTGATTGGTATTTATTTTGGTTGTTTTGGAACTAAACAGTCAACTGTTAAAGAGTACCTTTCCGCAGGAAAACAAATGAAAGTTTTTCCCATAGCTCTGTCGGTAACAGTCAGGTACGACATTCACTTTTTCTGCTCACACTTACATTACATTGTTTTAGTCACTTTTCTGGAATTACTCTAATTGCAGTTCCAGCAGATGTTTACAAGTATGGAGCATTCTATGTGTTCACATGCTTATCTGCTGTTCTTTTGGTTATTGCTGCTATGTATGTTTATTACCCTGTATTGTTTAAAGGCGACTATAATAGTATTTATGAATACTTGGAAGTAAGGTTTAATCGTAAAATCAGATTGCTTAGTTCTTTTTTGTACATTTTGTACGAAAATCTTCTGCTTCCTGTAATCGTTTATACTCCAGCACTAGCACTGTCAGTTGGTAGGTGAAAAATTTCGTAATGAAGGTACAGAATTATAACCAAAATATTAGTTACAGGAATTAGTGTACAGTTGATAGTCTTGTTAATATGTGGTACATGCGTGTTTTATACAGCTGTTGGAGGTTTACGAACAGTAATTTGGACAGACATTTTTCAATTTGTCGTAGTTATGGTCGCTTTTTTAACAGTTTGTGGCGAAGGAATTATCTCAGCGGGAGGTATTTTATCAGTTTGGAATAAATCAGTATCCGGAAAACGACTTGATATTTTTGAGTACTGTTCTCCTACCATGATTGCTTTTTTTTAACAAATAATTTTGTAGTTTCGACCCAGACCCCACAAAAAAAGACTCGTTCTGGATATGTACAGTGGGTCTTGCAGTTCGATCTTTGTTTTACATATGTTTATCTCAATCGAGTGTCCAAAAATTTAAGAGTCTTTCAACCCTTCGTCGCTGTAGATGGTATGGCAATTTTTGTTTTGTCCATGTTGTATTTTTTGTAAATGTGTAGGTCCCTTTCACTGTCTGGCCTGTGTTGGTGTGTAGTTAACATATGTGCAATTTCTGTTGGTTTAATAATATATGCTAACTACTACAACTGCGATCCTGTAATGGACAAAAAGATTACAAAGAATGACCAAATTGTAGCTTACTATGTAGAACAAGTTGCAAACAAAATTTCAGGTATCTCTGGGTTATTTATGGCTGCACTACTGAGTTCCGCAATAAGGTTATAACAAGATGTTTATTGACTTAAAAAATTATTCCTGTATTTTTAGTACCTTATCGTCAAGTTTAAATTCGTTATCGGGTGTTATTTATAACGACTTTGTCAGAAACTTTTCAAAAAAATCATTTACTGAGAGAACAAATGTAACAATTATGAAAGTTATTATAATTATCGAGGGAATTTGGTGCACTTCTATGGTTTTTGTTATTCAGTACTTGGGTGAAATTCTGCCTTTAGCCGTTGCTATTACAGGATTAATAGATGGACCATCGTTGGGATTATATATTTTGGGAATATGCTTTCCACAAGTAGACTCCACGGTTACTGAATTCTGTACGTATTTATTATCGGGTTGAAAAACTTTTATTTTTAGAGCGCCTTCTACGGGACAATTGGAGGTGTGATTTTTGTATCTGCAATCTATTTTCCCTCTATATATTATAAACAAAAACAAGTGTTCGTATATCCCGCTAAGGAACTCAGAGTCAGTGGCTGCAATGTTACCGATGACACATTTTCCATGCCTTCCAAATATTCGAGTTCTTTTCATAAAAATTTTTCCAGCAACAGTTACAATGTCGATGGGCTGGATGTTGTTAATTCGACAACGAAATTGTAAATATAACATCACCATTACTTATTTATTTGTATTACCTGTTTATATTTTTAGGGATGAATTCAGTGCGAATCAACCATTTTTCTTTTTTCGAATTTCTTATGCCTACTACTGTTTGGTGGGAGCTCTCGTAACTATAATTTTGGGATTAATTATAACATATATTAGAAAGTGTAAAACAAAATCACGCGATGATCACGCACGACCAGCAAACCTACCGTTGCTGGTAAAATAATTAGTACACACAAAATTTTTCGTTATATTTTGATCAATAAACAAACGATAAATCAAAGCGTTTTAATAATATATCAAAACTTTATCCATCTCTCTAAAAATCTATTTTTGTGAAGTTGTCAATTTATAATATGGAACAATTATGTTTATATATTTCAAGTCACCCTGTATAAGCAAATTTAAAATTATGAATGCAATTTTAAGCTACAAGTATAGACTGATCTTATTGTGTACATTTTAGGTGGGATTTATTCGGCAAAATTTTGAGATGACGTAATCAATTTTTTTGGGGTTGATAAACAGATATATTTTGATTAAAAAGTTACCAAGAAACTACTAAACGGAACTTTTCTATGTCGATGCTAAATTTCGTTTTTAAAGTTGCCTTCAACATGGAATATTCTGGCCATAACGATGCTGGACACAATTTTTGGGACTGTAAAATACATTTTAAAAATGCTAAAAAATCTTAGATGATAAATGATAGATGAGCATAAACCCAGAATAATACCCTTTTCTCACGTCCATCGTTTAAAAGCCACGTACACCTTCTCATAAGGGTTTTTTGATTTGGGGGCCAAAAATTTTGTGCGCAGCCTTAAGAAACATTTTGCCTCACTAAATATCTCCTGATAAAATATGTTAATAATAGACGATTTCGGATAAAATAAGCTTCAGTGTTAGAAAACATTTTGAAGATAACACGGTGTTTTATAGTTGAAAGAACTAGGCCCCATCAAAACCTTCGGTCGCTCGGATTTAAACTAGGATCTACCCCTTTAAAGTACCTATAAAATACCTAGTTGTCTTAACAGCTGTACCTAAAAATTAAACCCACTGATATTTCTAATTTCAAGTATTCTCCTTATTTAAGATCGTGTGGTATTGGGAGATGTTTTTTTAGTTATAAAAAAGAAAACATTTTTCTGTCGAAAATTTAGAAAAACATCTCATTTGTCATATAAATTTTAACGAAGATTAGGATCACTGATTATATGTAACACTCGTCACTTACTATTAAGAATAAGATAGTTAATGTGCGCCGATTAATAAACCCAGCGCGTCGTATTATTATCTCCAATGTCTGCCCGTTCATTCCTCACCAAGTTCTTGAAAACTTCATCAAGTAGTTTGGACTTAAACAGTTTCACAAATTCGTTGATCAGGGCCAGTGTACAAAATGCGAAATATGCTCATGTTCTCAGTTTTCGTCGTGAGGTGTACATACAAACAGATGATGCTATTGAGCTTACCCTCGTCCAAAGTTTTAAAGTTTGATAACACCAATTATCGTATTTTTTTTACGTATGGTGACGTTTGTTTCAAATGTAAGACCGTCGGCCACTATGCGAGTGGTTGTCCAAAGGCTGTTCAGACTCCTGCGGTTGTACACCCATCTCTTACAGGGTAACGAGCCTCTGTTGAGGTTGAAGATGACTATTCTGAGTCCAACGAAATGGATCTCTCAACTTGTAGTAGTCTTTCTAACACTAACTTAAAGAAACGTAAGCAAGGTGAGTCTACTGACAGTTTAACTCCCACAAAATTTAATTAGTAACACTGACGGGTACCCTTTAGGCTTTGAACAGATTGTTGAATTTTTGGGGAAACCCAAGGGTACACCTGATATTCTAGACCTAATACGAACATATACTAACGATACGGAGGGTGTAATTAATTTATTATATGACATATACGGAGTTGTCGAACACAAAAGCATCAAAAATAAATGTCGAAAAATGCAGAGAAGGATCACGAAGACTCTTGTTAACACCCGGGATAATTTTCAAGATGATCGGCTCCCTGACCATTAATTGAACCATAAAATAAACCAATAGATCTCAGCTCAATTTAAACAATACATATAATGAATTTTGTGCCTTTCTCAAGGAAGGGTTAGTGGCTCTAAGAGGTTATACACTGTTTCGGAAAGATCGTGTACGAAAAAAAGGTGTTGGGGTACGTATTTATTTTTTCAATATGCCTAACATATCATGCCCTGTAGACCCTTCGCGACCTAATAATCCTTCCTCACAACTTTTAGTGGATTTACTTATTAACAGTCATTTCCACCAATATGTATCACAGCCTACTAGATATCGTGTCAACCAAACTCCTTCCACTCTTGATCTTGTCATTTCTTCCGATGATAATTCTCTCACTAACTTAGAATATGCTAGTCTAATTGGTATTTCAGATCATATAATGCTGAAGGTTAACCTGTAAATTTGCTTCATTCCTTATAAGAGGACTGTCTCAATTAAGAGGGCAAGTAGTGATTATAAAGCAATAGGTCAAGATCTGGCCAAAACAGATTGTCAGCTCTTATTAAGTAACATTCCAAAAACTGGAATGTCTTTAAAAATATTTTGTATGATACCATTGAACGTAATACCGTAACGATTAGTGTCAAAAATTTTCTGCCAGGAAACCTTAGATTAACGGTAGAACTTTACAATTAGTTAGAAAAAACGTACCCTATGACGAAAGTTCAAAAAGTCAGGTCCTGATCAAATTTCACCATTAGTTTTTAAGGAAAAATGTGCAGAAGTTCTCAGTAGCAATCATCGCTTTATTTGGCACTGGATTGGCGTACGCCCATCGTTCGACCCATTTTCAAGAATGGGGACAAACTTGATGCAAGCAATTACAGACCACTTCAATTGTTGTCAAAGTTATGAAGTCAGTAATTTACGATCAAATGATTAAATTTCTGTTGGATAATTGTTTAATCCCATCGGAGAAATATAGATTTCTGCCAGGGACATCTATACAGACAAATCTTCTTTGTTGCTTGTCCGAGTGAACTAAAGGACTGGATGTGGGAAACACAATCAATGTTTTATATCTTGACTTCTCTAAGGCCTTGGACAGAGTTTCACGATATCGTTTTCTGTTGAAACTGAGACACCTCGGCATAAGAGGTAATCTGTTAGCATGGATTGAGGGATTTCTTTTAAACCGCACATTCCAAGTTAAAGTGGGAAAGTCTCTGCGTCAGCGGGTGCAGGTATTACGTGGAGTTCCACAGGGTTCAGTTCTGGGTCCTCTGTTTTTCTTAGTTTATACTGATGATTTGAAAAATGTTATAAAGTCGTCGTTTGTTATGTATGCAAACGACATAAAGTTGTATACCTAACATAAGTAGTAATAGTATGAATCTCATGGAAGATCTTAGTGACATATTGAAATGGTCCCGGGACTGGTTGTTTCCTCTTAACAAGGACAAGTGTAACGCTCTTTATCTAGGTGGTAAAAACCCTAAACTGCCTATTATATTACTGGCAAAGTATTGGACAAATCGGATTGTTCCAGAAATCTAGGCATTTTAGTAACGTATAATCTATCTTGGTCGTGTCAGATGTTAAAAAAGTTAACACAATGTTATTCCTTCTCAGTAAAGGCTTCTCCAAAGCTAGTCCTATTCTGTATGGTAAGTTGTATAAAACGGTTGTGAACCCATATTGGAGTTCGCCAACACTATATGGGCGTCTGTTTTACCGAGGTATATTGCATTGTTGGAGTCAGTTCAGCGTAAAGCAACGAGAATCTCGTTCGGCAGAGTTCGTCGGCAATACCCTAACAGACTTGCACTGATGAGGTTAACGAGTTTGCCAGAAAGACGTATAAGAGGCGACTTAATAACAACCTCAACTACCAACGGGCATTGTCTGAAGTTGCCTAAAGATAACTTCCTTACAACTCCCAGACAGTACTTTTTAGTCAGTAGAGTTTTTGCACTTTGGAATTTGTTGCCTGAAAGCGTTATTGATTCGCAATCAACAAAAGAGTTTAAAATAAGGTATGACGCACATCGATCTTAAACCCACTGTAACTCCATAATTTAATTACGATCATTCCATTCAAAGCGCGGGTATAACAGGCTTCGGCCTCTGCCCGATCGCAAACACTAATAATAATAATATAAAATAATAAAATAAATGTGGATCTTCAAGAAAACCAGACGTTGCGTAAAATTTATTTTTCCCAAAACTTGCCTAAAGCGCATATTTTGCCATTTTTCGGGCCTAAATCCCCCGTCCTTATCGCTTATTTTAGGACTTATTTGGGCGTTTTTTAGCATAAAATCCGCTCTTTACACTTATGTGTTACTTCGCTGGGAAAGAATTAGCATGGTAGATTGGACTCGCATATACTTAGTTGAACTGGAAAATTTATAACATTGGTAGTCTAGAGTCGATGTCCATACCTACCTTAATAGAAGTTTTTATTCTCCGCATGACATACGTGTCGTATTCACATTGCGGGCAATTTTTCAGCAGTTCGTTGTATTTTTCTTAAATTTTGATTCCATTTAAGCAATGACCACATTCGTTGCCATAATTACAGCTATGTGCATTGTAGTGTTAGTGCTGTGGTTAGCTCGTCAGTTTAACAAAAATAAAAAATATTACAAAAATATTCCAGGACCACTACCGCTCCCGATTGTAGGTAATGCGTTAGAATTCGGTTCGACAACAAGTAAATGCGTATCTATCTGTTATGTTACACAAGGTAAAAGATTTTTATTTTAGAACTATTACACACCTTACACAAGTATGAGAAAAAGTATGGAGAAATATACAAAATACAAATCGGTCCAATACGTAATTTCGTAATAGTATCTGACTACAAATTTGTTGAATATATTTTGAGTAGTATGAAACTGTTAACTAAATCCCAGAGTTATGATTTCTTAAGACCTTGGTTAGGAACCGGTTTGCTGACTAGTGATGGTATCATCCTCTATTTTTTTTATGTAAATACTTCAGTTACTAATTTCATAGGGACAAAATGGAAAAAACATAGGAAACTTTTAACGTGGGCGTTTCATTTCCAAATTTTAAAGGAGTCTATTGGAGTATTTGAAACATGTAGTACAAAGTTAGTGGAAAAATTACAAACAGAAACTGGAAATACGGCTGTTGATGTTTATCACTACGTAACGTTATGTACTTTGGACATAATTTGCGATAAATATTTCAATGCAAGCTGAGTATCAAACTAATTGACATTTTTTAAATCACTTGTCAGAAAGTACAATGGGAGTGACCATAAACGCTCAAGATGATGACCAGTCTGAATATGTCCAAAGCGTTAAAGCTATGACACGCATTATTATCGAAAGAGCTTTCTCTCCATTGCAGATGTACGATTTCTTATATCCTTTGACCAGAAACTATTACACACAAAGAAAAGCTTTGAACATTTTACACGATAAATCTTACACTGTTATTAAACAAAAATTACAAAAGTTGCAAAATAAAGAAGCCAGTGCGACCCAGGATGATGACTGTGATATTAAGAACCGAAAATCTTTTTTGGATATACTTTTGAACGCACGAGTGGATGGAAGACCTCTAACTCAGGAAGAAATAAGAGAAGAAGTAGATACTTTTATGTTTGAAGCAAGTAATTAACGATACATATTTGGCAAATAAAAAAATATATAATTATAGGGACACGACACTACAGCATCAGCAATAAGCTTTACATTGTTTTGTTTAGCAAGTCATGAAAGCATCCAGGTAATAGTGAATAAAATAATTGCTTCATAAAACAAATTTTAACAATTGCTGGTTAATACATTTTTATTTCTATATTATTTAGTCTGTTCTGTTTTAGGAAAAGGTATTTAACGAACAACAGAAAATATTTAATTGTAAACACGACTCTACTACTACGTATGACGATTTACAAAACATGAAATATTTGGAGCTCGTCATTAAAGAAAGTTTGAGATTGTATCCATCGGTGCCTGTGTATTCCAGAAACCTATGTGACGAATTAAAATATGGTATGATGATTTTAGGCAGTTGTTATAAAGAATTGCGTAAATAGGTATCTTTTTCTTTTCCGCAGATGGTACTACCTTTCCTAGAGGAGTCACATTGTTAATATTTGCCTACGGCATTCACAGGAATTCCAAGTATTTTAAAAACCCTGAAATGTTTAATCCTGACAGATTTGCGGATATTGATGGAAAATTGCCTTATGCCTATATACCATTTAGTGCAGGACCTAGGAACTGTATTGGTAAGCAACAGATCTATAACATATGCAAGGTCTACATACTCTAGACATATATATTTTCATAACATAATAAAATGCAACAATGTTGACAAAAGAAAAATAAAAAACACACAATAAACATTCATGATGCCAGAAAGCAAAACAAATAAAAATGCAAATAAGTAAGTAACATTATTAAAACAAGTATACAGGGTGTTTTACAATTACACGCTCAAAGAAAAATCGGAAACTGGTTTCAAAAGGTAGATGGCGGTAACAAGAAAAAGTTTTAATAAAAGTCTTTTTGTTTTCGAGATGAAATTGATTGAAAATTCTATTAAAATGAATTGTGAGTTACTGATTGCAAAGGTATCTTGGTTGTTAAGTAACATTCGTCAGAGCTATGTACAGTTTAGGATGTTTTTAGACAAATGTAGGCCACGTAAATCTAGTAATTTGGTTGGCTACCAAACTTGTATATGCAAAGATCCGTAATCAAAAATGAAATACATCAGGTTAGGTTAAGTTGTTTTCAATGTAAGGTTAATCTGTCAAAAACATTGTTGCCAGTAAGTTCACACTTTGTATTTTCCATATAATTAAAGTTGAAATTCACATTTATATACTTCAAAATATATCAAAAATTGTATCACTCGTATTTTTGTAGGTCAAAAGTTCGCGATGTTGGAAATGAAATGCACCATTTCGAAAATCCTTCGGAAATTTAAGTTAAAGCCTGCCACTCCACGACACACTTTGGTGTTGGCCGCAGAGTCAGTGTTGAAGTCAGCAAATGGTGTAAAAATAAGTTTAGATTTAAGGCAGTGAATATTTTTAATATTAAAGTACCGAGTGTTTATTAATGATTGAAGTAAATTTTTGGGTTGGTAATTTTGAATTCTTGGCAACAGTGGTGACATGTTAGTTTACAGTTGTCCAATGATAAGATAGTAGCTACTGAACTGGTGTCTAAAATTAGGATTTGACGTCATCAAATTTTAGATTTGTTACCAACCTGACAAAAAAATCACAAACATTAGTAGTCATTCGGTATTTGTAATGAGGGTGGTATTTTGTCTACACACTGGGTAATTGTTGTTGAGGGGAATTTTATAGCGTATGTAAGTAATTCTGCATATATTAAATTTATAATAAAATAAATGTGTCAGTTATTTATTGTTGTTTACCTTTTCAGAAATTTCACTGCCATTTATTACCGAAAAAAATATTTACAAAGTGATTTTTATGTACATTAATGTATCTATACTAAGAACTAACGTTTGATATTTATGAGCTTACGTTTTACTGATATACCTAAATGTTCAATAAATAACTGCTATGGTAATTAATTAGATAATGAATGATAACTTGGATGAAATTTGAGTTGTTGTTGAAGCAACCATATTATTTTTCTTCCTTTTTGAAGTGGTCCCTAATTTTTTTAATCTTCACAGGAATGTTAGTTAACTATGTGGTGATATTTCATCTCTTGAAAGCGTTCTCCAAAAATTAAGAACATATCAAATATTTCACCGTTAGTGCTCACAGTTGACAATAAAATTACATATTGTAAAGATGAAAATTAACTACTAGGTAATTATGTCTGTACATTTTAGAAGAATAAATCTATAAAAACAGTTACATATGAGCTATATATTTTATGCCGCACTGAAGTTTGGTTAGAGAACCGCTATTCTAATACTTACCCTGTATTACCTATATGTCTGTCATTATTTTGATTCCTGTGTGAACAATAAAAAAATGCTACTTGTAAAACCTCACTTTTCTATAAACTACATAATTCTCTGGAATGTTGATTAAAAAGAACCTACGATTACAAAAAAAAACAAGAACAGAAGACTGCAAAATTTTAAATACCATCATCAAATTTTGGAGTACAGAAACAGAAAAAATATGTTTTTTTTTAGTTTAACTATGATTAACGTTTTGGTATTCACACGACAGTTCTTTGATACGTACATTTCGCCGAACACATTTGAATTATTGTTGCGTTGATTTCACACTTTATCAACGTTAACATTTTTAATGTAAGTTTTTATGACACTTGTACTTACACTTGTTTTTTATAAAATTGATTAAAATAAACTATTAAAACTAGTAAAACAGAACAGAAAGTTTAAACCTATTTGCCCAACAAGACACGATGTTCTACTGGTACGACTAGTTTTTGGTATTCTTTGTCCTTGTTACAAGCGTGTTGATTGGTATTTATTTTGGTTGTTTTGGTACTAAACAGTCAAGTGTTAAAGAATACCTTTCCGGAGGAAAACAAATGAAAATTTTTCCCATAGCTCTATCGGTAACAGTCAGGTACGACATTTACTTTTTCTGCACACACCTCCGTCAGATTATTTTAGTCACTTTTCTGGTATTACCCTAATTGCAGTTCCAGCAGATGTTTATAAGTATGGAGCTTTCTATGTGTTCACATGCTTAGCTGCTGTCTTTTTCGTTATTGCTGCAATGTATGTTTATTATCCTGTATTGTTTAAAGGCAACTATAGCAGGGGCGGCTCATGACTTGAAAAATTGATGAGGCACAGCACAAAACGCTCTAAAATATAAATAAATCAAGTTTACTTAAATATTTTCTATTTAGTCAAATAAACAAATTTGTAAACTCATTTAACTGTCCACAAAGAACCAACGTGAAGGTGTAAGGAGGTCTTGCAAGGAAAGGATGAGAATGACAGGACAAAAGGAAAGGGAAGCGTGGTCAGAAAAAACTAAGATAACTTCTAACAAAAAACAAAATTAAAATAAACTTTAAAGGAAACATATCGAAAAAGATCAAATACAACATAAAATAAAGCTAATTTGATTTATAACAAAAAACAAAATGAAAAAAATATAAAATATAAATACGGATTTATTTTAAATTTTTTTTTATGGATCAATTAACGATTTACTCAAATCAGGAACCGGCGGTTTTAATTCCTTAACTACATACAATTTATCATCATACGTGAAAGTAGAAAAAACAGAACTGCCATTGTCATTTAACGTTAGTAGAGAAAAATTCCGATTTACTCGTAATCTTAAATAACGATTACCGAAATCAAATTATGACAAGCACAAAGCACTAACGCGACCCACGCAAACGTAGGCACTTTTAAGACAAAATTCTGTTACCGAAACTTTGAATCAATTTATACACACACAGATTTGTGGCAAAATAATCAACGGCCTAATTTTGAATACTCCTGCGAATGCAGACTGCATTGCAATCGCACGTTCCCCGCGCGCAAATAATATAGTTGTCCATCTCTTTTGCAAGCACGGAAATGAGGCTAGCCTCAATTTTGTCTTTTTTCAACTCATACCGCTTATAAGTGTATTGCAGGTTGCTTGCCTATTAACGACATGATTTCTATATATGCTGTAGAGGCAAGCTTCGAGTCGGCCTCATTCGCGTCACAAAATACATGTTGTGCCGAGTGTTTAAGCGCGCTGTTTAATTAAGGGAGCAACGAGTACCTACCGAGATAAAAATAAGAATATAATTTTCTATATTTATTTTTAAAATTTTAGAAAAAAGACACAAATTATTGGCCGAAATGTGTCCGTATAAAATAATAAAAATCCTAATAAGGCGTAAAATTCATTGGTGGGGCACTGCCTCACCTGCCTCATAGGACAAGCCGCCCCTGAACTATAGTAGTATTTATGAATACTTGGAAGTAAGGTTTAATCGTAAAATCAGATTGTTGAGTTCTTTTATGTACATTTTGTTCGAAAATCTGTTACTTCCTGTATTCGTTTATACCCCAGCATTAGCACTGTCAGTTGGTAGGTGAAAATTTTCGTAATGAAGGTACAGAATTATAACCAAAATATTAGTTACAGGAAATAGTGTACATTTGATAGTCTTGTTAATATGTGGTACATGCGTATTTTATACAGCTGTTGGAGGTTTACGAACAGTGATCTGGACAGACATTTTTCAATTTGTCGTAGTTATGATCGGTTTTTTAACAGTCTGTAGCGAAGGAATTAACTCAGCTGGAGGTATTTCATCCGTTTGGAACAAATCAGTATCCGGAAAACGGCTTGATATTTTTGAGTACTATCCTCTTTCAATGATTGTTGTTTTTAACACAATTAATTTTGTAGTTTCGACCCAGACCCAACAAAAAAAGACTCGTTCTGGATATGTACGGTGGGTCTTGGAGTTCGATCTTTGTTTTACATTTGTTTATCTCAATCGAGCGTCCAAAAATATATGAGTCTTTCAACCCTTCGTCGCTGTAGATGGTATGACAATTTTTGTTTTGTTCATCTTGTATTTTGTGTAAATATGTAGGTCCCTTTCACTGTCTGGCGTGTGTTGGTGTATAGTTAACATATGTGCTATTTCTGTTGGTTTAATAATATATGCTAACTACTACAACTGCGAACCTGTAATGGACAAAAAGATTGGAAAGAATGACCAAATTGTAGCTTACTATGTAGAACAAGTTGCAAAAAAAAGATCAGGTATCTCTGGGTTATTTATGGCCGCACTATTAAGTTCTGCAATAAGGTTACAGCAAGATGTTTACTAACTTAAAAAATTGCTTGTGTATTTTTAGTACCTTATCGTCAAGTTTAAATTCGTTATCTGGTGTTATTTATAACGACTTTCTCAGAAATTTTTCAAAGAAATCATTTACTGACAAAACCAATGTAACAATTATGAAAGTTATTATAATTATTGAGGGAATTTGGTGCACTTCTATGGTTTTTGTTATTCAGTATTTGGGTGAAATTCTGCCTTTAGCCGTTGCTATTACAGGATTAATAGATGGACCGTCGTTGGGACTATATACCTTGGGAATATGCTTCCCACAAGTAGACTCTACGGTTACTGAAGCCAATACCCATATCTTTTATCCATATAAAAAGTTTTATTTTTAGAGCGCCTTCTACGGAACAATTGGAGGTGTGATTTTCGTATCTGCTATCTATTTTCCTTCAATGTATTATAAACAAAAACAAGTGATCGTGTATCCCGCTAAGGAACTCATTGTCACTGGCTGCAATGTTACCCATGAGACATTTTCCATAACTTCAAAATACTCGAATCCTTTTCATGAAAATTTTACCAGCAACAGCTACAACGTCGATGGGCTAAATGTTGTTAATTCGACAAGGAAATTGTAAGTAATATCACCATTGCTTATTTGCTTGTGATATATATTGTATATATTTTTTTAGAGATGATTTCAATGCGAATCAACCATTTTTCTTTTTTCGAATCTCTTATGCCTACTACTGCTTGCTGGGAGCTCTTGCAACTATAATTTTGGGATTAATTATAACATATATTAGAAAGTGTAAAACGAAATCTCCCGTTGATCAAGCACGACCAGCAAGCCTACCTTTGCTGGAAAAATAATTGCCGCACGCAAAATTTTTCGTCACATTTTAATATAAAAGCGAAGGATAAATCAAAACGTTTTAATAATTTGTTAACACCATCGATCGAAAACACCATAAAAAATGTCTTGTGTAAATCCCTTTTTATATATTTGCCAATTTATATTAATGCATTTGTATTACTTATTATTATTTACCTTGACAATGAAGCTCCACTTGATTCAGTTTGGGAATATTAACAGGACTAGTTACATTAATTTCAAAAAACTCGAAAGTGTAATTGGTTTTTTGCACTGACGTTTAAGTTCATTCAGAAACTCATATAGTTCTAACAAATTTCTGACTATTTGTCTAGTGTTTGTATGTTATTCCTTCTAAATATCAGTGGCGGCTCGTGACCTTTTGAAATGGGGGGACACAATTTAATTGACGAGTTAAATATGAAGATATAAAACAGATTGTTATTACCAATTAGTAGACGAAATTATGTGACGGAAATAAATATAAAAATACATTCAATAAAAGTAAAAAATGATTTCTCCATGTACCTTTTTGCCTTCGGTTAAAATTTTACGTTCATGGCATCTAAAAGTTCATTTTGAACAGTTTTAGGCGTTTCTTTAAAAACCATTGCTTTTTTCAAATGATTGATAAAGCAGAGGCCAATTCAGCCGTAAAATCAATCAGACCTCAAAATATACCTGAATTTTGTTGATTCTCTACTTTCGTCATGTCCACTTAAAGCAAGTTCAAACACTCTTTGTCGACCCTTGCGTTATGTGCCCGAATATTATTAATATAGGCGGTGTGTAATTGTTTCCCAATGTCTGTATTACCGAGAAGATTATACAAGAATATTTATCATACGTGTTCGCGCAGAATGAAAATTAAAACCCGCGATAGTAACTCAATCCTGCAGAGCACAATTGGAATGGGTCCGCAGTTCAGTTGTTTTTTGTTTCCATGGCAGCGGTGTAAACAAAACATCTAAATCAGCCATGATTCTCGGTCTCTGTGCCCGGCTTTTATCAGCATTTTATCAGAAATAACATATCATATATCCAAGACACGTCTTTAGATGTATGTGGTTGTAAGTTTTGATACATTTTATACAAGTGGAGAGAGATAAAAAAAAGAGTTTTGAAAATTACTATTTTACTATGTCCAGTGTGGTTGTTGACGTTGCAATTTTCGGGGGGGCACGTGCCCTTGTGCGCCCCGGCACCAGGCGCCCCTGTTAAATATTCTATTTAGTGATTGGGCTGTATTTCATACCTACCTTAGTCTTATTTTTTTCCTTTTGCATATGTGGTCTGTCTTAAATAGTTGATTTGAAGTATTAGATGATTATTGTAGATATTGAAAATTTTTTCAAATATAAACCTTGATCATTCATCCTCCCGGAAAAATTGATGACGTTTTCTCAAATATCGTTAACCAAATTATACTCAGAATATGCAGCTAGTGGTGTTCCTCGATCTGCATTTTAATAATCTAACCTATTTTTAACTATACGTATACGTGTTCCAAAAAAGTCTATACCTATGTATAATTGATCCTAAAAATAAACGATTTATTCTTGAAAAAGTTTATGGTACAGAAATCAACTTCGTATTTTTCGCTGCTTGTATGCTACAAATTTTCATTCTTGTCTCTTGTAGATTTATTTTTTTTTTAGGATTGGCTTCGGTTTATCCTGTTTTCAAGCTGCCTAGAGAGAACCATGCTCGAAACTATAGAAGCCGATTATTTGCATTTTCCCCTTTTTTAATTTAATCCTCGTCTTCTTCTACCTAGAGCAATGAAACTGAAATATGTTTCTCTCCATAATTTCTTGTATTCTTTCCTATTCTGTGTTAGCCTTGAGGCCCATGCCACTGATTGTTCTTATTTTGGCAACTTTTCTCAATTATTCTTTCCAAGTTTATCACAACCTCCGAACCTCCCTCTTCTTCTTTTCGAAAGTTCTTTTACTTTATATACCTGTTATATTTTTGGAATTCAGTACCGAATCATATGGATGACATAATTTTTTTCTGTTCTAAAATCCCACATAGTATATTTTGGTTTGCCTTTAGTTGCCCTTATCGCTTTCTAGTGTCTGATGAAACAAAAGAGGTTTCGGAATGTCCATTTCCTAAACGTACAAAATTTGTGGTACAGGTTTTGATACAACAGATTAATTCTTGTCCAGTATTCATGACCTCCTCTATAAATAAATAAAGTAAAAATAAAATTTACAAGAATTTTTCTGCCTGTTGAATTCATTGGTTCTTCCGAAGTCACTCTGAGTTTCTTCCAATGCTATTTCTGTTTTTTTTTCAGTTTTGTTTTTCTAGTAGCCTGGTATATATTTGTCATGATATACCTGTTAAATTTATGCTTCTATAATTATTGACCTCTTTGCTATCTCCTTTTGTAAATATCGGCATAATGATTCGCCTCCAGTCCTTTGTAGCCTTTTGGTATGTTCTTTTTGGTTTGCATAGAATCATTTCCACAGTAATTTCAAGTCTGTCTTTGTAGTTTCTCCTTCATACTATCGTGATTTTCTCTTTTCTCTGTTTATTCAACTTTTATTTCCATATTCTTTATCATCCCTATCATATTCTTTTAATTTTCTAAAATGGTCTTTCCATTTTTTCGTAATGTTTTGTTTTTTTGTAATGTTGTCCCCCTTTTATATTTGACATTTTTCTATTTTATTAGTTTTAGGCTTTCTCATTCGTTTTAATACGCCATAGAAGAACTTTTCATTTTAACGAACGTTTAATTACAGTTTTTGACTTTTACTTCTTGTTTACATCCGTCATAATTATTTTAGTTTATTCTTATGTGTAAATCTTTTTTTTTCTCACCGCTACTTATATTTCATATGACTACCATTCTGTTCATTTTATATTATTATTTGCTATTTTCTTTATTCTACTGCTTTATCGAGGTGCCTTCTTTATTTTGTTTTTTAAACTGTTCCATCTTTCTTCTGTTTATTAATTTAGTTCGTTTAGGAGTATATGAAATTATCTAGAGTTTGTTTTTATTTTCAGTTCTTTATGCACGTGCACTCCTTAATTTCTTTTTTAAGTCTACCACTCTATTAATTGACGCTCGGGTAATATGCAAAATGCATATTTTTGCATATTCTGCATATTTAACTAATTTTTGCATTTATTGCATATTTTAAAATTTTTGCTGCATTTTTGGTGGTAATTGGTGGAAATTTTAATTTTAATACAATTTTAATACAGTTGGTTATTGACACTATGCAGTTAAATAAATATCGACCTTTCTAGTAATGCAGACGGGTTTTTTCAAGACTTCATTTATGGGCACCCCCAATTAGGTGTGTTCTTTACTTAACGGCCTCTAAGCCGGATGTTGTAAATATAGATAGTTTTGCAGATGTATTTAACGAGGGGTTAGAAGAGCCATGGAATGGATCTGTAGATATTTCATTCTTCGATTTTCAAATTCATTCATAATTCGTCCACGAACTTGACGACAGGGTAGTGATATTGCGGATAATTAAAAAATACATGGATATTAAGCACCTCATAATTAAATTCACTGATGTGCTTTAAACGCTATGCCCGGTTCATTATTTTGATTATGAAGGCTTAATACTTAGTGCATAACAATACAGATGCAATGGTTAAGCATTTGTTGCTATTATGACCTTACTTACAATTATGTAATAAAACTACTAAGACACACTTAAACCTCTTCAAGGTTCCCATATAGTTACATATTCCGTGGGGATAAACGCGATGACCCGTTAAGACAGTAAAGTAACAGAATAAATAAAATTATCGCATGCATGTATTAAACTATTATTTATGGTTCCTTTTAAAAGTTTCTACAATCGATTTGTTATTGTATTTACTGTCATTATTGACACAATTTGTAAATCGAATATACAACAATAGGGATCGCTTCCGTAGAAATAAAAAATAACTGCGCTGTTATGTTACTTTCAGCACGAATTCAATAAGTAATCAGTGGTAACTTTTTCTAAAGAATTTAATTATAAACATTTGTCATCTGTTTTTAAGGCAATAGAATTTGAGTTGGAAGAAATTACAGTAGACCTGTCTTCTCGTATTTCTGTTTCTTCAACCACAAACGAGTTAGAAGGAACATAACTGGCACTGCTGCTGTTAGTATGTAAACTATTCTCAGCAAACTCTATCTTAGTTGATAAAGAATCTGCTACATATCCTTCAGCGACTCCAGACGACCCGCAAATAGACTTTTTGTTGCCGAATATATATGTATTGTTGTATCAGAATGTTTAATTTTGTTGATGTTTTGTACATTTTAAATAAATGAATCATATTATAGTATTTTATTATACTATAACTTCCAGCCACCGTGACGTGTAATAAGTGTTATAACATTAACTCCAGTATTTGCCAATAAAGTCGCCGACGTCCTTCTGCAAGCATGTCCTGTGTAAGATTTACGAGAGTTTGTCTCCTTAGGTCTTAACTTATCTAAAATGTAGAAAATATGATGAGTCTTATACAGGGTGACTCAAAAAATTAATAAATCAGTTAGTTTATTTTACTGAATAAATCATTAATTACAAAACCGAATGCTTTGAAATCTTGCAGACATTTTAAAGTCATTATAAGCATGGTAAATGGTTAATCAAAATAAATCTATTTATTTCCCCAAAAAAATTGATGACGTCATCTTAAAATTTTGCCGAATAAACTCTACCCAAAATGTGAAAAATATGATGAGTTTTTACTTGTGATTCATCATTGCATTAATATTTTTTTCTAAAACTGACATTTTAAATCGCTTCTAAGATTCATTTAAGCTCGACCAATAAGGTATCTATAAATCCACTGTTCTTTATAAAGTACGTCGTCAATGGTAACGTCCTTTATACTATTTAAAGTACGCTGCTTCATTTTTCGTAACATTTATTTATTGAATACAAAACTACAATTATTAAAATATAAATTTCCATTACTCTTGAAGGGTGAATTCTTGTTGTTGATGTTGGTTGTCTCTGCTACTTTCGAAGGCGGAATCCAGCTTTGTACATCTAATCTGGTTGCTGACCTCTACATTGGAATCGTCGCTACTACTGTTTAAAAAA